AGTGAATTGGATAATGTAATTGGATAATATAAAGAAATTAGATACATTAAATATTATATGTGCCAAATAGGAGCAATTTTAATTTTCTATCCTGATTCAGTGTTGTAGAATCATTGGCTAATCTTAGGTTTAGTCCCTAAATCCGTGGCCAGGCTAGGAGGATACTGGCACCGCTGGTTCCCACTTTAGATCTCCCTTTTTCCTTGAAGGCTAACTCTTGCTTTAGTTTTTAAATAGTAAGATCAAATTGGGGATTTTTAATCTATCGCACTAACAATCTCCAATTATACACCCAACAAAGTATATTTCCCTATTTATTTGCACTTAATCCCATGAAAGAAATACTCCTTCATGGACTTAAATGTGATTCTCATTCTATTATAGAACTCATACTCCATTTCCTGGATCATATTTTTCACAACATATTTTAACAATTCAATTGGCAGATCAAAAAGTAAATTAAGAGCGGAGTTGAAAAACTATCACAATTTATAATTAAAACTTCCTCTATCATGCATCTCAATATCTTAAACATGAATCCTACTCATTGCAAAATAAAAATAAAAAGAAATTAACGACATAATCTTCTCATGCCATTATTTAAAGAAGAAAGAGTAAGAGAAACACATCACAAAGCACGAGGAAAACAAAACAAAAAATTTCATTGAATCAAATCAAACCCACTAGATAAGTGTTTACAAAATTATAAGACAATGAAGAACACAATACTTAGCTTTTTCTCCTTGAAATAAAGATGAAAATCTCTCCAACAAAGTCTCCCGCTGATCCATGCAATGCTTGAACATTCCCTTGCATATTCTCTCAAAAATCCCCTCACCATTCTCTCCAAAATAGTTGAAACATTTCTACTCCTATTCTAAGATCTCTAAACATTCTCAACATTTTCTCACTCACACATACCACTTTTTCTGACATAAATGCACTCTATTATAGTGTAGGGACGAATTTCCTAAGAGATGCCTCAAGCAACCTTCCAAAAAGCGTCCAAATACATTGAATCTTCTAAAAATTCGCCGAGGATTGCGTCCAAACCGTCTCGGGTGCTGTTGGTGTCATTTTGGCGTCATGTTCTGCACTCTGGCACTGTCGGCGCTCACCCTACACAGCTCCATCATTTTGCTTCATTTGGCTTGGTTTTAACTCTGTTTCGTCTCGTTTTAGTTGCATTTCATTCATAACAGATAAACCTACAAAATAAGCATAAAAAAACCTTCCTTTAAAGTGTAATTTCATTCAAAAATGTGTGAGAAGTGTAGTAGAGATTAAGCATAGAAAGACATCGAAATGTGATAGGATATAATTTTCTTTCTTGCTCGTTTTTGCTTAAATTTGCATCGTTTTTGCTTCTTTCTCTCCAAAACTCCATTTATTGTCTCTGAAACTAAAAATATACAAAATACCTTCCTTTAAAGTGTAATATCATTAAAAATTATTAAAATTGATCATAAAATATATATGAAAAAGTAGTCATTTTTTAGGCGTATCAGGGATCCTATTAAATCATTGTAAAAAGTCTTTATAATTAACCAATCGGGCAGAACATGATATGGACACTTCTTAAGTAGTTCCTTAAATATCTCACATGCCTCATAAATCGACTCACCTTCTAATTGGAAATATGAAGTAATATCATTATTTATTTTCGTAGTTCTTTAAGGTGGAAAATACCTAGCTTGAAATTATTGGGCTAAGTTACCCCAAGTTATAATGGATCCAGATGCTAATAAGTTCAACCAAAATTTAGCTTTATCCCTCAACGAAAAAAACTTTAATTCTAACTACGTCATTTGACACACTATTATAATGAAATGTAGTAAAAAGTTCTAAAAAACTTTCTAAGTGTAAATTTTAATTCTCAGATGGGGTTCCTCCAAATTAGTTATTTTACAACATTTGAATAATAGCAGTTCAATTTAAATGTGTTAGCTTCCACTGCAAGATTTTGAATACTTAAGCGATTTTCATCTGTCTTAGGATTAGCGTAATCTCTTAATGGTGTATGCACATTATGAGAATCATTAAGTGATATTTAGTTATCTGAATTGTTTTGTTGAAGGTTCGCCATTTCATCTACAATATCATGAAGTCTTTTTTGTTTTCCAATTTTTCTAATAGTCCTCTCTAGTTCTGAATCATAGAGTACAAGTTTTATAGGTCTTGCACTACAACTAGTAAGTTTATCACAAAATCACACTAAAAAAACACATAAAAATATTTTATAATTTTTTTTTTCAAACAAACAAATACTTACAGAATAAAACTACAATACGATTTTACAAATCTAAGTCTAATTGATTCGACTTAAATTCTCCTAAATAAACTACATTGTCGCCTCCTTGGTTCAAATGCACATGCACTTTGGGGTTTCACATAAGTATACATATCGCATTAGTAACATTGGATTACTAAGTCCGGAATATGTATCTCACAGGGAGCGAGGGGTGAATTTATAAGGACAAGGTATAATATATTAAAACTAGTTCTTAGATTGTAACTTAGATTAGGTTGAAGATCTACAAACTAATATTACAAAGTTGCGATCAATTGTAAATGCTAAATCCTATAAATTACTTGAATTGGTGATTAAAAAGATGTAAAACAACCTCCCATGCAATGATATAAGTAGTTTGTAGGAACTGAAAACTTTGAATTGAAATTGTGGCTGGTGACAAATATGAATAATTCTCTTTTTTACCTTCTCCTGAGTGCATAAAAAAGTTTAGTTAAAGTGGTTTTAATTATTTAAACCTTAATTTGTGCTCATCAAAGTTTATTTTCTTATCTATTTGCATTGCTATATGGACTAATTTTTCTTTCACCCACTAGTTCAATGTGAATACCCTAATCATTTCTCCATACTTCTCGCGAATCATTATGAATCACATGTTTTAACTAATCACTTGGCCATAATAAAAAATAAATTAAGCATGAAAGAGTATTCATTACATTAAAGATTTAAAACCAATTCTAAAAGCATTATTTGTTCCTACACCACCTACATATTAGTCACAGGAGAAAGGTGAGAAGGAACTTCTCATAATGCATAAAAGAAACAATACAAGTCATCCTTTTAAACAAGGGAGATCCACTAGAATTGTGTTGACAAACAATACAAAATGAAGTATAATAAAATACTTAGCTTTTCCTCTGTAAAAGTGATGCATACTCCTTGACAAAGGATCTACAAATACCTCCTGCAATGTTGAGTTCTTCCCTTACAAACAACACAATTTCCTCACCAACTCTCAACACAAATAAAAAAAGATACTAGCTTACTACAGCAAAATTCCTACCCTATACTTCACAAGAACTTCTCCCCAGCATTCTAAGGAGTTTAGCCCTTTCAAAGTCACCAAAAATGATCCATGGAACCTCCTTTATGCACCAAATAACTCAACGAATCATGTGGAGAAAACTATAAAAACTGCCCCAAGCAGTTTTGATGCCTAGGTGCTAAGCTCTTAATCTGGTTGGCTGGGTTCTGGCGCCTAGGCGCCCAAGTAGGTGGCGCTAAGACACTCAAGTAGGTGGTGCCAAAGCACTCTGGTGCAGAACCTTAGCTACCAAAGTTTGGCGCTTAGGCACCAACCACTTGGTCTTCCCTTAGCTCCATGTTACCTCCGCTTTGCTCCGTATCTTCTCCACTCCAGTCCATTTCGACTACCAGTTGTAACTGCAAGAAAAACACTAAAATTCTCTTCTTTAAAGGGAAATTTCTTCCATAAACAAGTGCAAAAATGAAAGAAAATTAGTCATGCTTTAAGCCATAGTAGAAGCCATATCAGAAAGGATATGAATAGCCTCTCTCTTGTTTCAAAGACAAGTAAAAAGTACCAAGATGTAAGCCCACATGAAAACACCTTCTAGTAGTTTTGGATCTGAACTTGAGCTTTGACAAGCTCCGATTAAAAATCTAAGGAAACAATCTCTTAGTAACTTCTTTTTTTTATGAATCCCAGAAATGTGAGAAGAGTCCTTCATGATTCTTCAATTCATGATGAATTGCTCCACAATCACCTTAGTAAGCTCATTGATGGTATGAAAGCCTTCTCCTAGGATTACAACTAGAAGAGTAAGATTACAACTTTGTCAATATAAATTGTACAAAAAACTTTAAGGGCCTGGAGAAAGTCTCCATATTATAACTACGACAGTCGTACGTAGTTGTCATCGTAAGATATCACCAGATCTTCCAAACAACATTATTTGTTATGCGGTTTCATTACATTGTAAAGTTTGCAGATGAAGGTGAGCAAGAGCAACTGGTTGTGGTCGACGGCAGCCGACAGACGATGGTTAACGGTGGTGGGTAGCTATGGAGTCCGAAAGTTATTTTCGGGTTTTCAGTTCACAACAACTCTAGAATTTCTCATTCTTCTCCCCCTTCAAGTGAAGAGAGTGTTCTACTTATATGCTGTAAGGAATATTTATATTTTGGTCTTTTTGCTAGTAACTTCTTCAACCTCCTTATCGAACGACTCCTATTGAGCTCTTTCGATCATAGAAGATCTCTTAAAAATTTGAAAGCCTCAAGGACCTCAGAATTAAGGGAGTATATACTAGTTGGATTCCTCTCATCAACAGAGTCGATTTGAATAAATATATTAAATTTAGAGTTCATTTTACCATCCAATTGATGATGTGATACCTCTAAAAGTATTTTAATTTATTGATCTTAACTTGATTGAACTCGAATTGGATCAATATTGGTATCATTGGATTTATCTTGTTAAGATGGTCAGTTCGACTATAAACTTGTTGAAATTGCAGAAGTTCTGATGATCTTGAATTTGAACCTGAAATATTTTGTTTATATATTTCTCCACATTCGTGTTAGAAAACCAAAATTTGTTAATGAGGCAATAAAAATAAAATCATATTTTTTGATAATTTGCTATCTATTTAGGTTCTCCCTAATAGAGCAGAGAACAGAAACACCATGGATCAGAGAATACTTAACCCTCTAAACATTTTAACAGGGCCATAGAAAGCCATTGTTGCAACAAAGTCAACTTCTTTAGTAATGGCAGCGCTGAGTTTGTCTTTGGACCGTTAAATCCAGTATTTGAACATGAGGGGAAGCGGGCATGGATTATCCCACTTGATGGCTACACAGCTGATAGAAATATGGCGACCAATAAATTTGGTGATGGAAGCGCTTTTCCTTCGGAAGTGTTTGGCATCTACGAGCAGCTTTTGCAGGACAACTACGTCGACATTAAATGGCAGAAAGGTGACGTTTTGCTTCTCGATAACTACGTCGTGCAGCATGCAAGAAGGCCGGGGAAGCCTCCACGACGAGTGCTTGCGTCTATGTGCGTATGATTTTTGTACCGTTCTTGTCTGAATAAATCAAAGGCTTAAAAGTAAATCGCCACTGATAATGTATGAATAATCTTGGTAACAGTTATTTTCTTATTGGTGGAGAGACATGATGAAGCAAGCAATTCCATCAAAATTTGTTTTTGCCCCACTTGCTGCTGGAAAAAATATGTCCGGTGTCTGGACATTAAATTACGTCTGGACACAAAATCTTATATTTACTTGAACCGAAAGATGAAATCATTGTTTTATTACATTTAAGATTATACGTGATTAGAGAAATTTTATTTTTGGGCAACTTTTGTTCAAGAAAACACTTGTGTATTGTATTAATACTAAGAGAAAGTAAGAATGAACAACCTTTAGAAAGTGAAACCATTGTTATACGTTGTTCCGGGTTGCGTTTCATTAGAGATATTGTGGTCTTTTTGCCATAGTTGAACTTATTTATAGATGTGTATGACTGAAACTCTTAAGGAAAGTCTTATATTTAGTAGAAACGAAAGGTGAAATCATTATTTCATGTTATATAAGGTTAGCTTTTTCAGAGAAATTTTGAGTTTAGCCAAATCATGCTTAATTTTGCACCTGTGTATTGTCCCCATTTTTACGAGAAAGTTAGAATTAACAAACCTAAATGGGGTTAATAAGGGTTTACGCTATTGTAGGTTACAGTTATTTAAAATTGTTGTGATATTTTTACAATATTTTTACTTAATTATATATTTGTAATCTTTAAAATATTTTTTAAGAAGATTTTTTATCCAGTCATGAGGTGACAAAAATAGCTGTGTTCTAAAGTCTTTATAGAAAACTCCTACATTTACCAAGTCAGATAGCTGAGATAATTTTTTATTATGTTTAATGTAGAGTTTTTAAGAATAAAGTTGAGTTTACTTTGCATGTAGTGTTGAATATCATATGTGCAAAATATGCAGGTATGCCAAGGTATGCCAGAATGATGTAATTCATTTTTATGGTAAACATTATGTAGACAAACTGTTTGCTACTAATGTTCACAATGAAAATGAGGCTTATGATTTGTATTGTAGTCATGCACACGACACGGGATTTAATGTGAGGAAGGACCATGTCAGTTATTAGCCAAATTCCAGAAATATAAAATAAAAAGACTCTACCAAGATTAGACATGTGGTGGACCTTTATGGCAATTGGAAAATAAAAAATTTCTTAGAAAGTCATAATCATCCATTAGCAAAGTCAAGTGATCAACACTAGTTATGGTCTAGACGGGCCATCTGTAAAGATAAAGGAGTTTTGATGTCTATGACAGAAGCATGAATTAGAGCTACTAATGCATTCAACAATCTTGCTACAATAGTAGGCGGTGTAGAAAGAATAGGATCTATTAAAAGTGGTTCATTTAATTTCATCCAAAAGGATCCAAGGGAAAGGATTGACAACTGTAATAATAATTCTCTTATGCAACTATTCACAAAGAGACAAAATGATGATACCATGTTTAGTTGGGATATCCAAATTGATGAATTTAGAATGCTAAAGAGTTTTTTTTTTGGAGTGATGGCAGGGCAAGAGTTGATTACAATTTTTTGGGGAGTGTGATAATTTTTGACACAAGTTATCATTTTAACAAGTATAATTTAGTGCGTGCTCCTTTTGTTGGAGTTAACCATAATTGACAAAACATCCTATTCAAAATAGTTTTTTTATCAGATGAGACAATTGAATCATTTAAATCGTTATTTAGAGCATTTCTCCATAAAATGGGTGACAAAAATCATTTAAGAATATTCACTGATCAAGATCAAATAATGATAAGAGCCATAAAAAAAGAATTGCCTCGAAATCCTTACAGACTACCCTAGTGACATATATCTTAGAGAAAATACTTTCAAAAGTACACTGTTTCAATAGTAATAAGTTAATTTAGAATCTATTTTATAACTGTTTAAGTTCATGCAATTTAGAAGAGAAGTTTGAATAAGTATGGGTGGAAATGCTGAAAAAAGGGAATCTTCATGATCATGAATGGTTAGACTAGCTATATAAAATTAGGCAAAAACATTCAATAAAATTTTATTATGCATGGGAATTTTATTGACACGGCGGAGTGTGTCTACGAATAATGTATGTCATGGTATCTCTAAGCCTACTAGTTTCATTACTTACTATTTTTTGGGGATGGAAAAAATCAAGTCTTTGTGGAGATGAAATAAACAAGATGAGGATTTTAAAAGTAGTCAGTTTGCAATCACGTTAGTTGTTAAATGTAGTCTCTTGTTGGAGTAAGCAACTGCACTTTATTCAAGAAAAAATTGTACTTATTCTTTGAAGAGGAATTTCTACATAGTGTCTGTGGTCTATCTGTAATAGTTTGTGATGATAATCCCATAAAGTATTATATAAGAGATGTGTACAAAAGCATGCTTAATTTTCTTTATACTTTGCACATTTTTATGAATGAAATTGCACTTTAAAGAATGTTTTTTTTAATGTTTTTCTTATAGGTACAACAAGTAGTAGAAGTGGAAAGATGTGGAGAAGAAATTGTGCGAAGCAGATCTGATATAAAGCATTTGGAACTCAAGAGGCTGACACTAAGGCACTTATACCAATAAGAAACTTAAAAAAGGAGCATCCAAAACTTGGATTGCTAATTTTGATAAAAACACGTTTGATATAAGATTAATTTATGTCCATTGTATTAGAGTTATGATCCAAGAAAATATAACAAAAATAAAGGAGAAGTATCACATTCTATGTTGTTCTTCAAGTGCTAAGTAAGATATCTACATTGTTGATAGCTTCAGTTGTTTGAAAGTTCTACAAGGTAAGAGTTGTTCTTCAACTAGGTTTATATTTCAAAACCACATAAATAATCATACCAGATAAGCATGGGGGCACAAGTAAATGAAGTAGCCGAGTAGCATATGTTTGAGACATTGAAGATGTTGTCCGAAGATGTTTACTCAATATTGTGTGAGAATTTACTGACAGCGACTTTATATATGCTTAAAAATATAAGTGTTTAATACTGCTCCTAAAAGATTTAATTCCTCAGCAACGGCACCAAAAACTTAATAACGGTTATAGATTCGATAAAGATGTATATATATATATATATATATATATA